CCATCTTGTCAATTTGGTACCATTTATTTTATTTCGACAACAGAAATTATCACAGAGGACATTGCCGAATCGTAACTTTAAATAAGGCTAAATGTAAACCTTTCTTCATCGTCTATCACGCCCAAATTACATAAAAACGGACAAAGAATACGGATTTAGTAGGTTTTGCAGCTATCGAATGTTCTATACTAATAATTCGAGTTAAGTTAAATCGGGGGTTGCAATTAAATTTCCCATTTCTCATGCCCGACTCAGACTCGAATCGGATTGAGAAAGAGAGGTCGACACTACATTCCTGTCCGGTGTCATGCTGAATTCCACATTGTGGGAAATTCAGCCATCATTTCATACGTCACCTCAAGCATCGTTTTCCCAACCTGGTCAGCATTGGACAGTGGACTTTGCGCATTAACGGGTAATTCGTCGGAGTTGTGTTATTTCTCCTTCTCTCCTGGTACATTCATTTATCCAAAAGCCTCGTATCGTCTCATTCACTAGCACAACCTTTAATTTGCTTATTTTAGTGTGGTTGCTTATTTTAACCTACTGCTACGAGAACATGGGATGGGTAAATATACCAATACAGGAATGGATTCCACTTGTCTCTTTGACGATTTGTAGTCTGATGCTAAGACTGGCAGGGTTCAATGAGGATGCCTACCAAGTAAGATGTCGGCTAAACGTTTGAGATTGTACCAAAGCAGTCCGGATGAGGATCGTCCATCTCGGTCGGCCTGACAACACGACAAAGTTGCTAAACTGAGGTCAAACCACTATTATAGAACGAACGTAGATCGCGATCTAATAGAGTCCACCACATTTTGGGCTTCATACCTTCGATTCAGCATCATTTGCAACGGATTCCTACTCGAAATGAACTCAGTTTCATTGTTCATTTAAAGAAACCACGCTTTTATGCTATTCTTGTATGTCACCTTATTCACATACACAGAAACACACCCACAGCAACAAACCCGATTTATCACCTCAGCCAGAAAATCTGGCGCCGGAAGTAATTTTTCTGCCTCACGGCATTCTACATTACATTTACAGCGTCTGTATACTCAACCTCCGGGAGACATCCCATTTTATATTATTTGCCAAGTGCCTCTTGCGGCCTAAAACAATCTGGCAGTAGAGCCTCTGGGCAGAAGAGGGTACAAATGGAGTCGGAAATGATACAAAGCGGTCATTGTTTAGAGTAGGCTACTACAATCTCTTCAGGCCGTTTTCCAGAGTACCTCCTCACTCGAACGCCTACTTGCTATTCTTGACAATATCATTATGTGGTGTAGGCCATGGTTCCACTGATTCTAGGAGATATTATCAAACTCTAGCAGCGACCCCGTTCATTGGCAGATAAAATCAGCTTGAATTGTTGCCACACTTTCAGTACAAATCCTTACACAACTAATTAACTCAACCCACATTACTATCGGGTCTTGCATATTCGCAATGGTAATTCTCCTAAATCATAAAAGAAAAGATCATTCAATTTCAGTATAATTAGTTTTCGAGACCATCAATAATTGTTGAATTAGAACTTACTTGGGTCTTCCAACACTAAGAGAATTGGGCCGCATGAGGCCATTGAATTTGACTTAGTCTTGACGACCAAACAACTAAACTGCAACTTAAGTCCCGCCTGAACTGATGTTATCACTACCCTCAGCGGGGGCCGATCTCAGGTGATGACATTAGCACTGGACTACTTAGCAACAACTGCTGATGGGTCATGTGGCAGATGTGACATTCGAGGCAAGTAAGGCTTCTTTCAATAAACAGTTGCAGTGAGGTTGCCTATTAAGCAAACTTCGATTTTGTATGAAAGTATTTGGTAAAGACATAAATGGTGAATCCCACCAAAAAACGACGACGGATTCCTCTTGACCAACTGTTGATTGGCCTTATTTGAGCTTTCTTATAGGCGTTATTTCTGAGACAATCTCTTTAGATTGCGGTGAAAACATGACGGTCACCATCATCTTTACAATCATATTCAAGTGAAAAATTCAAGTTACTACTTTACAACTCGTTAATATGCATACATTTATAGCATAAATCAGACGGAAACTTGGCACGTCTCCACCGGAATCGAAAGTGATTGCCTCAGAAACAGCGTCACGAGAATGTTCCGGTTAGGCTGATCAAAAGTTGGCCAAAAGAAATCCGCCGTTGTCTTCTGGTGGGATCGACCTGCAAATATATTCACCTGACACTTTCACTCGAAATATAAATAAGCTCAACAATTATTAAATAAGAGATTACTGGAAGCCCAACTTTTCCTCGCACAAATCAGTTTTTTTCATTTTCACCAACGATGCTACTTATTTTCAGTATAAGTAGTTGCCGAGACTATCATTAATGATCAGATTAACACTTAGTCATCCTAGATGGATTTAAGTATGCTCACAAGCTGAATTTACGTTATTCTCTGGTCTAGGCTGCATTGGACTCCAAAACGGTATTTGCAAACGAGCCGCTAGAATAAAGTGGAGCTACTACAACAGTCCGTTACACAACCGAAATGGCTCTAAACGCAAGTCAGGCCTCACACAAATCACATTTTGTTGTGGGATTGCCGAATAGGCAAACCTGAGGCCGATGAACAGGGGACTGGCATGCAACTAAAGGTATGTACAAGGTGACGAATAGCAAGAAAATTATTATTGTGTTGCTCGAGATTGTGTGGTTTACGAAAGCAAACCCAATAGCTGAGTATACCAAGGAGAGGAAAATGTCAAATGTAGGTTATGTGTAAACGTTGAGTTAATATCCTTGCTAAACACACCTTTTACGTGAGCTCTGATTGTAGAGTCAAACTTAAACTTACGAATAATTAACTACTAGTTAAGAAAACTAGCCATAAACATCAAAACTTTAAGCTAATTGTAGTGTATACAACTTGGGGTGGGGATAGCAAGGCCAGTGAATTGTTCATAGTCAATCCGGCGAGAAAGGGTTTCACACTGGGTTACCTCAATGAAATTGCCATTAAAATCGACGACATTACTTATTTTCAGTACGAGCATGTTTCGAAGTGATCGGTATGACTTAATTGCTAAATGTGGGCCGTTGAAAGGTAACAATTAGGCCTAGTTGCGGTTGTGGCTTCAGTTCAGTCCAGGCGGGAAGTAAAAAGTTTTTTGGAGGCAGGTCCAAATGAAATTCACTGGCATTATGAGGCCTACTCACTCAATTGTTGTTAATCAAGTACTCTTATTCAAGATCTACTGGATCTTCTCAAAAATTGCTTTCAATCAGTATTAGTAAATTAGTCGATTGTAATGGTAAATTACACATTTTCATCTTCGACAATCCCATCATTCAAACGTAATATGAGAGAGGCCTGGCCGCCATGGTAACTCACGTCGTCGAGATTAAACACGGCTCTGCCCGGCTTCGAGTCCTGTTGCGAGGGAGAGGGGCTGATGAGATTAATTCAGGCGATATAGAAGCTGCAGTCCAGTCTAGTCCTAGTGAGAATGTCTGTTGGGAAGGAAGACCCAGTGCAATTAAATGGAAACGTGACATCTACTCATATGAATTTAGGAAAATTCATATATCAACTAGAACTATTATTCCTCAAGACTTAGGGTTTTTTGAACACATACACATTTTCCAGTTTCTACTGAACCCTCAATATGGTGGTAACTCAGTCAGGCCAAGACGATAAATAGAAATGAGCACAAAACAGCATAAAGTTGGAAATGCATTGTTTCCACCTGACGGTTGGAGGCATAACAACTGAGCAAGTGCATCTTTGCCAAGGAGAGGCGACCTGTCTTCGTCTCGCCTCCTCTTGCACATGATGCTCAACTTTATTGGCGACCGAATTCGGCACATGTGATGTCGAGGATCTCGAAGAGGTTGGCCATTTTGGTCTTGTCAGTGAACCAGATCCTCCATGACACCTGATCGCCCGACAACACATCGCCTCGAGACAGCCTCACTTGGTCGCCGGCCAGCCTTGGAGCCCCGAGCCACTCGAGCAGCCGCAATCTCCGCCACAAATCCTCCTCGGCTCGTCCGACTTGGCGACAGCGGCCAGAAACGGTGTCGCTCAGCGCCACGAGCACCATCAGGTGCTGGCCGGTGCGCATACAATCGGCCAAGGCTCTCAGTTCGGATCGAACCTCCCGCATGTGCTGCTTCACACCAGACACCTGCTCGCCGTGGCTTGAACGGTCGTCTCGATGGTCTTCCGGAGGTTCACCTGGCCGGTCGTTCAGAAGGTCATCCAGACTGCCGTCCAGACGGTTAATCAGATTATCGTTCCGTTGGTCGTCCAAACGTTCTTCCAAATTGTCATCTAGACAACCTAGACGATCTTCCAGAAGGTCTACATGGTCTTGCAAACTGTCTTGTAGGCAATCATCCAGAGGACGGTCTTGACGAATGTCCGGACGGTGTTCCAGGCAGTCTTCTACACGGTCGTCCAGACGGTTCATCAGATTATCGTTCCGTTGGTCGTCCAAACGGCCTTGCATACAATTCTCGAGACTGTCG